GTGAAATGGGATGTTGGGGGGAGGAGAGGGAGAGGGAGAAGGGATTGACATGTGAAGCAAGCTTGTTCCTAAATTTAACTAATAAAAGAATAAAATTTAAAAAAAAGGCATGTGCCAAAAAAAATAGTATCCCAGATTCTGGGGTTTATTTATGGATTTCTCAGGGTCCCAAGTCATGTTGCTGCTTACTGGCCCCAGTTTGAGTTTTACTTGGAGAGTCACACTGACTTGGTTGTGAATGTCAGTCTTCAGGATACAGTGGCCAGGGTACCAATTCCCGGGTCTTTGAAGCTCAATGAGATCCAGCTGTCTCTGTGTCTGGTGTGCTGGGGTTAGAGGCGTGCAGCACATGTTCCGCTTGCTTGGTGTTCTGTCATGAGAATAACGTGCAGCCATCACCAAGCTTGTTGGATGTGCATTCTGATCCGTGTTTTTCTCCTTGTGACTTCTGCCATTTTGTACACTGTTGATAAAGAAATTGCCCCACCCCAACACTATGGAGTAGTAACGGAGGGGAGGTCACGCATGCATTATGTCCAGCTGAATGGAGTCACTCTTCTTAGAACTGACTGGATTGGAGACCTCACACTCATACACCCCAGAATCCTCCTTCCTGAAAGACTCTATTCTGAGGGTGATGTTGTCCTGTGACAGCTTCATCCTGTCTGTGAGCTCCAGACGCTTGCCATTGAAGAGCCAACGGATGGAGATCCCAGTGTCTTTTGAGATGCAGGTCAGGGACACAGGGTCCTTCTCTTTGATTGTGGTGTTGGTGACTTGGATGAAGGGTGGAGTCACTGGCTCTGTGGATAAAACAGTGGAGGGGACCATCTGAGAGTCCTTCCCACTCAGACATCTCAGCCACCTCACAGGGCCCACAGAATGAAGTGGTCCACAGTGAGTGTGAACAGTCAGGTCCCTCCATTATACAATAGCCTTCTCTTTCTTTTTCATTAAATAATTTGTCAGGGTTAAGATGGCCCAGCTAATCTTAAAGGTGTTATTTTGTAGACCTCAGGGAACCCTAAAAGAATCCTGAGTCTTCAAAATGATCTGGAAGACCAAAGGTCACCTCCTGAGGTCTCCATGTGGGAAGGCTGGAGATCTGACTGTGGACAGGTAACTTGTGCCACCCGTGGCCTGTGTGACACTAAGTGACTACGTTTCCTGTCCCATTATCTCTATAATGGGACTCATGGTAAATGATCATTGCCATGCCGGCAAGTTAACCTTAAGTGAAGGGTGACCTTATCTCCCACCATTTGCCTGCAGGAAATAATCCCTGGGATGGAACTCATAGGTCAAGGGGCTGCCCTTTATACAATTTTCCTTCTATCTCTTTAGGACTCTTGACCTTCCTGTGAGGTCTCAGAAGACCATCAGAACAGCTGGCTAGCTGCCTATGCTGAGCACACCTAGTCTCAGGAGGAGATGTCCAGGTAACCTACCTCAGACATTGCTCTCATAGGCTGACAGTCAGCAGGCCACCAGCCCACACTCAATTATTGTCCCCTGTCAGCTCCAAAAGGGGGTCAAATTACAAACCAGTCCACAAGCTTCCCCAGATTCCAGGTCCAACCTGAAATGGAGGTCTGGAGCAAAGCTTCAGTGCTCATCTCTCTGTGAGACTCTGATGGTTTCTTCAGCCAGGCCCTGCCCGAGTCCTGAAAGGTCTTTCTCAAGGCCATATTCATGATGAGCATCCATTAGACCCTGGGCAGAGTCTGTCATGCCTGGGCTCAGGAACCAAACTCCCTCTTCTCTGAGGGTGGATTCCAGTGAAACATCCTGTTTTATTTCTCAACTCTGTGTTTTTACTTTACTAACTGCTTGAATCACAATGTGGAGACCATAATAGAGAGTCATCCAGGACTGACAACCCTATGTGTGACGTAGGATTGCCTCCACCCCCAGCCCAGATGTTACAGAGATGTACTTACGGTGTACATGGAACTCCGTGGATGCTATGTACGTAACATAACCTTCCCATAGTATACGCACTGCATAGGTTCCTGTGTCATTCCGGGTGACATTCTGGATGAGCAGGGATCCATTGCTGTATAGTGTCTCTCTGTCACTGTGTGCAGGCCCCATAACCGTTCTCCCGCTGGATACAATAAATCCGGCTATTTCCTCAGTCGGAAGCACATCCTTTCCCTTGTGCCAGAAAAAGGCTATGAGTTTGCCTGGCACATTGTTGACCTGTAGAAGAACGTTTGCTCCTTCAAGAACATGGGGTGGGGCTGCATCAACAGTGGCTTGGGCACTGATGGGAGAGATCCAAGAGGTTAAAAGTGAGGCTAAGAGGAGAGAGAGAAAAATCTATCAGTGTTAAGACCTTTGCATTTGGTAGAAATTTGAACCTGAGTGCCTTCTAATCTCAGCTTTGGGGTGTGTGTGTGTGTGTGTGTGTGTGTGTGTGTGTGCGCGTGTGTGTGTGTGCGTGTTCGCGTGTGTCTTGTTGGGGTGAGGTCAGCAGCTTCACCTCCATTCCTCAGAACCCCTGAATCTGTCCCCTAAAAGAAAGTGTCTACTTTTCACCCTTGTTGACTTATCAACTTATCACTTCTCCCCTTGGAAGTTTATCAGACTCCACCCCCAGCCCATGAGACTCCAGGAGGTGCCCTCCTCTGGGGGAGGCACCTCCCACTCCCTCAGATCCCTGCCCATACCCAGAATCTTGGGAGTGTCACCATGTCTTCTATGTCCTCCTCCTCTACAGAATCGGTGTCTTCATCTTCTGCCCTTTCCCTGCTCTGTTTATTCTCAAGGGCTTGTCAACACCTGAGGACACCTTCTAGATGTCCTTGCTGCTCTATCTTCTTGCCCAGGAGCACTAGGACTTTGTGAGGAGTGCTGGTTAGATTTTGGGTTAAACCACACTGCCTGGAACAGGCTCAGATACCTGTGAGCAAATCAGTGCCCCAGAGCCTGGGCTTATTTGCAGGTTTCTGAGGGTTCTATGTCAGGTTGCTGCTACACTGAACCCAGTTTGAGGTTTACATAGAAAATCACCATGACAGCTTTGTGAATGTCAGTCTTCAAGATACAGTGAGTGGTCAGTGCTGATAAACTTACAAGGAGAACAACTGAGTTCTCTCTCCCCACTTAGCAATTCATATTCACAGTGAGATTTCTGTTGATCTCAGGCTTCAAGCAGAAGCCAAATGGCCCTACTCTGGCTCTTTCCCTCTCCCAGAAGACCCCACCCACTCTGAGCTTCCCTGATCTCCATCACTGAGGAATGTCTGCTCACCTACAAGCAGGAGTCCCCTCCAGAGGACCTTCCCTTTGTGGAGAGGGGCTGAGGTGAGCTCCATTGTCTCTGCTTCCTGCTAGGCTCTTCCTCTGGAGAAGAGGTTTTCCTCTCAGGCTGCAGTCAAGCCTGGCTGCTCTGGTGTCTGCTCTGCTTTTATTCCCAGACATGAGCCTCCCCCAGAGGAGGGCACCTCCTGGAGTCTCATGGGCTGGGGGTGGAGTCTGATAAACTTCCAAGGGGAGAAGTGATAAGTTGATAAGGCAACAAGGGTGAAAAGTGTCCCAAGATAACAGCAGCTCATCCAGTTCCTAGGTATTGGACTCCTTATGGGCAACAACGTAATTTTAAGGTGTTTTAGTTTATTTTTGCAGATGTTTTTATTTGAATTAGAAACAAGATTGTTTTACATGCCAATCCCAGTGCCCTCTCCCTCCCCTCCTCCCCTACCACGCCCCCAACTAAAACACTACCTATCACATATCCTTTCTGCTCCCCCTGGATGGTGAGGCCTTCCATAGGGTGTCTTCGGAGTCTATTGTCTCATTTGGGATAGGGCCTAGGCCCACCCCTGTGTGCCTTGGCTCAGGGAGTATCCCTCTATGTGGAATGGTCTCCCAAAGTCCACACCTATACTAGGGATAAGTGCTGAACTACTACAGGAGGTCCCAAAGATTTCCGAGGTTTCCTCACTGAAACCCATGTTCCTGGGGTCTGGATCAGTCCCATTCTGGATCAGTCCCATTCTGGTTTCCCAGTGATCAGTCTGGGTGCCGAGAGCTCCAACTTGTTCAGTTCAGCTGTTTTGTGGGTTTCACCAGTCTGGTGTTGTCCCCTTTGCTCTTCACTCTTCCTTCTCTGCAACTGGATTCCAGTTCAGTTCCGTGATTACAACAACGTATTTTTTTGGGACACAAATACCCAGCTTGCCCAGTCTTCCCTTTAATCTGAATTCTCTTGGAAGTTGGGAATTACTCTGGGCAGGTATCTCTAGGACTAGAAAAGGTCTAACTGAGGAAAGACTGTGGAGGACTCAGATGCTTTGTCATTGGTGTCACCAGTCAGATATGTGATCCAGGGATACAAGTTGTATCGGGAGTTTTATATCCTGGCGTGCTTCAATCAAGAATTGTAATTTTGATGACATAAGTAGGACATTCAGGTTAGTAGTCACCCACCTCATTCTTGATCAAATTCCTTAAAGTGCTCAGAACTATGCTTGTAGTCATGGTAAAAACAAATGTAACTCACTGACAGGGATAAGCTTTATTTCACCTTCTATGTATGCTTTCAGGGTTGAGTGTAAGCAAGTAATAAGAACAAATAAAGTTTATTTAAGTCAGATATATGTTTAAGAGATAGTCCTCACAAATTCTTCAGAGATCTGCTGACTATGGCATTTAAAGTGTTCAATGAAAATGGCTTCCTGTGGTAGACAAAATGTCAGCTCCTAGAGGCAGCCCTAAGGTCTCCTCCAAAGAACAGGACACTGCCTGGATTGTGATAATTCTAACCAATGGGCAAAACTGCCATATGTTACAGGGCCATGAAAACCAGGTGGAGACATTTGAATGAGACCAGGAATTGCCAAGACCTTTACCATGGGGTAAAGGAGCCATGAAATGACACCTGAGGAAAGATCAAAGGTGAAAAGAGGTGTTCTGAGTTCTAAACCAGAGAAGCTACTGACCATAACAAGGAGCCCATGGAAAGAGGAGAGTGGGAAGTGCAGACCCTGGAATTAAAAGCAAAAGTCGTGCTAGGCAGGGAATGCTGGTAAACACCTTTAACCCCACTCTCAGGAGGCAGACACAGGTGATCTCTGTGATTTTAGGTCAGTCAGGTCTACAAAAGGGGTTCTAGAACAGGTTCCAAAGATAGACTGAGAAACCCTGTATGGAAAAACAAAAACAAACAAACCAACAAACCTGTAAAGTCTGTTACAAAAGTTTACATAAAGGTTATAGCATGAGGGTTGATGGTTGAGAATAAGTAATCTAACTTCACTATATCATACTATGTGTGCAACTTAGATTCAACTCTTGTTTGAGGGAAATGGCTGTGTTTATATAATAGTGGGTCCCCAAGATATAATGGACTGGGAAGAATTTTTGTATGGTGATTCTTGGCCTGAGGAGAACCATAACAAATGAGGGTAAAGTCATTTTTTTAAAAAAAAATAGATTTATTTTTTTAAAAAGGGTGGATTAAAAAGTAACATATGTTTGATAATAAGATATTAAAGCTGAACAAATATGCATTTATAAGCAAATAAAAATACAGCATCAAAATTAACAAATGGGGAATGTTGGGATTCTCTCTTTGACCTATGTAATGTTCTTTATACAAGGCCTGACCAACCAGAAAAACTTTGGGAAACAACACTGAAAAGGCTATGATGTTTTAAAATGCAAAAATTTTTATTTCTCAATTTGCTGTGTAAAAAAACATCTTACTCTTTTAAAACATGTCTAATAAAGCTGTTATGATGCCATTTTCATATCAGAATGATGTCATTGGTTAAACCAAACACTTGTCCTTGGATGTTCTGTAAATTCACTAAGTCTGCAAACCTCAGTAGTTGGATAAGTGCAAAGATTCTTCTAGTAATTTTTCCAATTCTTGTTTTCACTTTAAACAGGTGCACACCTGAGCTAATAGAATACACCAGCCAAGGACCCCAAAGACTAGGTCTCAGAAATCTATTTAAAATAGCCAAGACCATGCATACTGCCAGAAACAGAACCAAGTAGGAGAGCTCTGGAAAGGAAGCTGTGTCAAAAAACATCATTCCACGTCCCCTCCTGGCTTAGCCCAGCCTGCCAGTCTCTGGCCACATTTTAATGGATGCCAACTTCACAATCACTATCAGGGACCAGCATCCCTAGTTGTTCCTCTGACTGAAACTATGACTTAAAAAGAACGACAGAGGTTAAATGTCAGGAGATGGGCACTGGCCAGGGTTTTGAATAAACTGACACAGCAGAGAACTATATTGTTCTAGATAAAGACTATCAGAAGCCTGAGAAACAGGGTGAACTAGGATGGTAAAGGATAAAAGAAAATTAAACACACAGGGAAACAGATGACAAGTTAAAGACTGAGGACCACAGTGAGAACACCATGGACTGAGATATTCCTATCTTACCATTCAGAGAGACAACAGCCTAAGCAGTTTGGCCCAGAGCCTCTGGTTGCCTCTCCTTACCTAAGTCTACTCAGACCCACAGAGACTGACTGACTTGTGAATTTCTGGCCCCTTTGTCTGTGCTGACTTTGTTCAGCTATGGCTATTTGGATAAAATGAGACATACGAGAATCTGTGATATTCTATACTGGTGACTATCAAAGGATAAAAAATGAGGGTCCCAATCTCTCTGTGGACTGTGTGTGTGGTTTGGTAAAATTCTCAGTCTCCCTATGAGCTGTGTGGATGATGTGAAGTTTTATTTTGGTCCTAACAGTGCTTCAATTCCAGAATTGTAATTTTGATGACATTGGTAGGACATTCAGGTTAGCAGTCACCCACCTCATTCATGATCAAATTCCTTAAAGTGCTCAGAACTATGCTTGTAGTCATGGTAAAAACAAATGTAACTCACTGACAGGCATAAGCTTTATTTCACCTTCTACATATGCTTTCAGGGTTGAGTGCAAGCAAGTAATAAGAAAAATAAAATTCATTTAAGTCAGATATATGTTTAAGAGATGGTCCTCACAAACTCTTCAGTTATCTGCTGAGTATGGCATTTAAAGTGTTCAATGAAAATGGCTTCCTGTGGTAGACAAAATGTCAGCTCCTAGAGGCAGCCCTAAGGTCTCCTCCAAAGAACAGGACACTGCCTGGATTGTGATAATTCTAACCAATGGGCAAAACTGCCATATGTTACAGGGCCATGAAAACCAGGTGGAGACATTTGAATGAGACCAGGAATTGCCAAGACCTTTACCATGGGGTAAAGGAGCCATGAAATGACACCTGAGGAAAGATCAAAGGTGAAAAGAGGAGTTCTGAGTTCTAAACCAGAGAAGCTACTGACCATAACAAGAAGCCCATGGAAAGAGGAGAGTGGGAAGTGCAGACCCTGGAATTAAAAGCAAAAG